CTGACCTTCTGTGTGTCTGTGCCTGCGGACTTGTGGACACAGGGCGCAGCCTCGGGGACGCCTTAAATGTCAGGACGGTCACATGCTGAGGAAAGAAAGAGTTTGAAGTCGAGGAGCGGTGCTCAAGGTCAAAAAGGGTCATCAGAACAGTTATGGGAGGATGTGCATGACGCCAAAATACAACGTAAGAAGGCTGGTACACAGATTTTTCTGCAGAGAATGGCACAGATGTCCAAATATTTTGCATGTAATGAAAAAAATTGGGGAAAACATAAAATTAGCCATGCGCCCGATATTTACAAGATGCAAGAGAAATGATGCCTTTGAGACGTATAATAAGCATTTTATTCTCCTTTAGGTAAAGAAAAAGAACACAAAGGGCCCCAGGTGGCATGTCCAAACAGAGAACTCTTCCCCTTTATGTCTTAAAGGCAGACTCTCTGCCACGTCTCTCTACTTTAGAAGGAGGGTCACACTCAGAGGCACAGCTTCATCTGCAGCAACACACGCTCCTCCGCCCAGCGCAGGGGGACCGTGCAGCATCCCTGGGCACCGGGCCAGGCGCTGGACGGAGAGATGCCCGCAGGCCTGGTGGAAGAAAGATGCTGGAGGCATATCCAAGCACCGCGTGCAAAGGGCCTGGGGCAGGTTCAGAGAAAGGGCAACGTTGGAACGGGGCCTGCAAAAGGCACTGGGGCTGCTTCAACAGCGCCTGAGGCAGAGGGAGCAACGCACATGGCAAGGAGGTGAGAGAGAGGGCGGGCCGTTACAGGCTGGCACATGGTGTGACCGAGCCGCACGGGAGAGCAGGGCTGCATGTGTGCGTATGTATCTGAAACACATACAGGGGGCAGTTCCAGCCAAGGAGCCTAGATTTCACTCTATAAAGAAACAGGCCCCTATGAGAGCAGAAGAGTGACCGACAGAAGCCACGTTTGAGAAGGAGCCCTCCGTGGCCACGTGCAAGGCTGGAAGGTGGAGGGCAGCTTAGGAGGAGAGGGGTCACCAAGATCTCAGACCGGGGTTGGCGATACCCAGAGATTGGTAGTTTTTTCAGATATTTTTAAAACCCCCATCTGCGGTAAGAAATGCGTTTTAACGGCGTAACCCAGGGATACAGGTGCATCCATATGTACAGCCCCCAAGAGCCAGACGGTGCTGAAGGCCCGCGCCCTGCTGTGCACACCACCCCGCGCCGGGATGTGTTCCGTCTCGCCAGCAGGTCTGCCCCACAGCGCTACGGACCTAAGGCTGCTACTGACTCCGGCCACCCCAGCGCTGCCCGCGGTGCTAAAGTGATGCCCTTCGGTCGCTGTGACTCGCTGTCCTTGCGTCGGCTCCCTGGCTGACTGTGCTGCACGGGCAATCAGGTGCTCATGGCACGCGTCCCAGCCAAGCCGTCAGCAAAGCTGCTCCGCTGCGCTGCTGATTTCTGCATATTTCTGCAGTCTGTTGCTACTCTTAAAAAGAAACGACAGAGGCTGCCATATCCAACCGATACCTCGTTTCATAGAGTATTCTGAAGACACCCAAAGCCCTGGAACACAGTTTTTGTTAAAAGAAACACTAATACATGATGTTAATTTTGGTCTCGATGACCCGACCCTACAGAGCTGGAGCGGCCTGGCCGCTCCTCGTGAAGCCACCAGGGGAGGGAAAGCAGCCGCCGTTAGCGTTGAATGAATGGGTCCCACTTCTGTTCCACCACCCCCAGCAGGAGCATCTTGGGAAACTCATTTACAAAGTGCGTGCACGGGTGTCATTGTAACAGCTACCGTCTGTCGGGCGTTCAGTAATGTGCTGGACGCTGTGTTCAACACTGGGTGTGCATCATCTCACGGACTTCAGGCAGACCTCTAACTGCCGTCATTTTCTAGAAAATGAAACTGACGCTTAGACGATTAAAGAATCCTGAGCAAGGCCACGAAGCCACAAGGGGTGAACCATGGGTCAATCTCAGGTTTGCCTGCCTTTAGAAGCCAAACTCTTAACTGCTGGGTTACGTTTTATCTGTTCCTCTAAATACATTTTTCTGAGGCTTAGCGAAGCCAATGGATTTACCTGACGACCAGCGAACAAGTGGTAACACCAAAGCATCAGTGTCAAGTCGGTCTCCTCCACCACCTCCACTGCCCCGTAACTTACTACCTGCCCCAGCCCCCGTCAGCAGTACCCACAGGCGGACAAGACACATGAGAAAAAAAGAAGAGAGAAAAAGCTCCTTGAGAGTCACAGGTGCAGAGTGAAGCTGGCTCTCTCACCCCCTCTCTCCTACCTCACCATTTAAAGCCAAAAGGAAAACAGAAGAAAGAATTCGCGTTTAGATGCGGCAGGAAAAGAATGAAACTAAATATGACTTCAGCCTAATTGAAGGCAGCTGTATAATCTCTATGTTAGAAGGCAAAGAAACAGTTCCAGTGACGGAACAGAGGTAGTATGTGGATTAAACAAGAACACGTGTTTAAATATTTAAAGACCATCAGAATCTTACCACGTGGAAGCCAGTAATAAAAATCAAAATGCGTGAAATAAAGTTGATACAGCTTTCTTTCATAAGAAACTACGATAAGGAAATGCACAAAAAGAAATTCTTAGTATTGGAAGCTCCAGATGTAATGCCTCAGTGAGAGAAGAATCTCCGCAAGCTGGTCCACCAAGGCTGCAAAAGTACGCATTTACGTAAGACAGATTTTACAATCCAATCGTGCACAGGCCTAGAGAACAGATCAATAATGTAAATCAACTGCTTTTAAACAGTTACTAAAAATCCTTCTCTAAAAACAATTATGAATCTCAAAGCTGGATGAAGTCTGGCATGAACACTAGAAATTATTAACGTCTGAAAAACAGGTTTTCGAAAGAAAGCAAATTACAGTACAGCAATGTATCCCGAGCCCCTCTTCCTCAGCAAGCTGTTATTTCAGCCCTGACTCTGCTCATGTACTTGTTCTTGGGCCTTTGAGTCTTCCTCTGATAACACACTCAAGAATTTAAATAACTACTAGGCTTTAGGGGCAGTAAATTCAATATAACGCACCCCCCCCAAACCTCCTAATTTACTTTTCCACAAATATTCGTCAACGGCAATTTCTATTTAAACTCTGCCACAGAGCAGAGCCCCAGTCTGAGAAGCAGTTTAAATGGAACGCTTACTTCAAAAGCCAAATCCGTTAAGATGAACGTGCCAAAGTGACATGAGAACTCCGCTAATGCTAACCGGACACATCCTGAGTGCAGTACACTTCTGAACATAGTTTATGCCCCTTCACAGTTTCCTCTTAACACCCAAGCCGGCTGCACGGGGCGTGCTCCCACAATCTGACACAATACAGGTTTTTATGGTCAGCAGCTTTGCATCTCTCAGGCTGACTGCACAGTCTACAGAGGTGAGAACAGCTGCACTGTGAAAACACTACTTCTGCAAGGAAGAGAAAATGAGAGATGACAAGTCTTTAAGAGTTACAAACAGAGGAAACATGATTTTGTTTTCTTAAGTATAAGAATTATAGAGCTAGATGGTCACCATGGAAACCTAATACACAAACCTCTGAACTTGTCAGCCTGTGGAAGATATAAAAAGTGTCGTGTATGGTTTTGCAGATAATAAGGGCAAGACGGGCTATCAGTCGATAGATGCGTGTCCACAGTGGGGCGGGCACTAAACATGCACTAAACATGTGCACGGCTCTAGAACCACTGAGCCTCCACGCGTGGCTCAGCCGACCCCGAAAGAGCATCGTCGAAGGAGGGCATCTCCTTTCTCCGAGGTCACCGACGTACGGGCCTCTGAGGTGACAGGCAAGGACACAGTGCTCTTGACGACTATGAAGATAGAATATTAATGGCACTGCTTCCTTCCAGGGCCAGCCTGGGGAGGGTGGTGGCCAAGCACAAAGCAGGGCGGGTCAGGATCGCGGTACCAACGCCCACACCGGGCGGGCCCCCAGCCTCAGGCCGCCCTCTCCCCATCTCCCTCCCTCCCCGTTCAGGGGGGTGAGCGCATCTGCTTCACCACCAGGCTTTTCTTCCCATTTCACAGCAACACCTCCAGCCTGCCTGGCCTGTGCCTGATGGGCGTTTGGTCTTCACAGAGGAGAAGCTCAAGGTCAAAGGCAGCACGCACTGCCGTCTGTCCACCTCTCCAAAAGGATTTGCTGGGCGAGGAGGAAGGTAGCTAGCCAAGTTCCAATTTTCCTAATGCGCTGAGAACTTTCCCTATTGCCCAAGATACAGTATGTTTCCAATGCAAAACAGCTATTTTTGCACATCTGTCCAAGAGCAGCTCAATTGAAAACAGGCCTGTCAGATCGACAGCACTTCCATCGCCGCTCAGTTCCTGTCACGCTGCAGAGAGCGGAGAAGCGCTTAGCAGCAGCCACAAGGAAATCTTGCAGGAAGACTTGTTAATCTCTACACAGTCATTCTCATGCAGCCATCAAAGCGAACTTAATGACACATCAGTTAAAATAAATTACTTTTAGGATCTTGCAAGGAGCGGCTAAGAGGCAAACCATATGTGACATCCTTTCGGCCCTCCCCGTGAAGGCACACAATTGTCACCATCTGTGCTGACTCCTCTGTCTGCTCCACCCACCCGCCCCCCAGACCCACCCTTCACTCGGGTGGCTCGGGAGGTGACCTCTGTGGGCCCTGGGACCGCGTCTGCATCAGCTACGACCTTGCTCTGTGGCTTCTGGCTGGGCTCAGCCAACGGGGGGCACCAAGAGAGCTCAGACGCTGGAGGGGAGCGAGGTGAGGTCCCCGCCCCTGCCGCGCTCCCGCCGCCCGGCGCGCCCCCCCCCCCCCGCCGCCTCCCCCACTGCTGCCCACCCGGTGCGCTCACAGTCTCCAGCTGTTGCTAATCTCCGGGTGGCTCACCAGCCTCGCCGGTTCCTGCAACCCTGCCCGCATCTCCAGCGACAATCCCTCGATCGCCGTTGCCAAGCACACCCCTGGCCGCCCCGGTCAGCAGCCCGAGGCGACCAGCTGGCATCGCTCACCTGGACCGTGTGGACCAGGTCGGCGGCCAGGCACTGCTTCAGCTTCTCACCGCTGCCGGTCCCGTGAAGCACCAGGTCTGGCACGTACGTGGGGCAGTAGCCCGCCAGGAGGGAGCGGCCGAAGCTCCTCACGTTCGGGGCGCTGCCGCTCTGAGACCTAAAATGATACCGGCCATCAGGACCCACCGCGAAAACGCGCTCCCTTCTTGCACTGCAGCTGGAACAGAGCCCCAGTGGCACAGGTGAGAAAAACAGGTTCGGGGTGGTTCGGATCACAAGTCCTCCAGGAAGTGGGTCAGTGGTACAGGAAAAGGAAGGGAGTTGAAGGGAAAAAGGAGTTTTCCTAAAGGGGAAGAGCAGGAAAAAATGAGTATTCTGGCGGCTGGCTGCGAGCCTGGGCCTGCACCTCACACAGAGCATCCTCCAGCCACCGTGTGGAGAGAAGAAAGGGGGGTCTGAGCGTGCTGAGGGGATCCTGGCGAAGCCTGGCTTGAGGAACTCGGCACACCTGCTCAGGGTGCAGCCAGGACAGCGAAAGACCAGCAGGCATCTCTAGTTACTGCTTCGCGGACCAAACCTCAACTGACAGCGCCTCAGGAAGAGGGGCTTTTCCTGACGCATCAGGCTGCTCTGACCGGCAGGCAGGAGAGACCCGCAGGATGTCACCCACCACCTCCCAGGCTGGGTGTCCGCGGCCACAGATCTGCCGCGGGGACGACGGAAGATGACACCCCTGCTCCCCACTGCCCCCCGCGCCCCTTAGCGTCCCCCAGTGTCCCCAGAGCTGCAAAGCCGCCGCCAGCTCCCAGCTCAGAGCTGGGCTAAGGAAGGGCAAGCCGGTCTGGGGACACTAATGCTTGGAGAGAATAATCCTGCCCTGTAGCAGCCCACAGCAGCGGTGCCGGTGGGTGCCGGCTGGACGCACATCCTCTCCCCGGCCCGGCCCGCCACCGGCCTTACCTGGGCAGCGGCAGCTCCACCTCCGGCGACCCTTCGGGCCGGTCATGCTCACTGTCACCGTCACTGCCGGGACCCAGGTCCGGCGAGGCCGGCGCATACGGGTCGTCGTCACTGTCGCCGAGGGCGCTGTCCGAGCTTTCGTTCCTGGGGAGACCTCCTTCCCGCCTGAAGCCGGCGTCCTCGCGCGGCACTGCGGCCGCGCACCCGCTCGGCGCAGGCCCGTCCGCGTTCTCCCCGCCCCGACCCCACGGCTTCACTGGCGCGTGCGCGGGGTCGACAGGTGCGCCCCGGGCGGCAGGTGCGCCGGGCGTCTCCGCAGCCTCCTTGGCGGCCCCGGTCCTGACGCCGCGGGCCCCCGCAGACGCCTCGGGGGCCCAGGAGCACCTCGGAGCCCGCCAGTCCCGGGCCTCCCGGGCTGCGTCGGGCCCAGCCGGGGGTCGGCGCGCTGGCTCCGCACACCTGCAGGCCCGCAGCCGCTCCTCCGTCGCTTTGGTGCGACTTTCAAAGTCCGAGTCCGGAGACACGGAGCTCCCGATGTGGAAGGTGACCTTCTCCCAGGGACGCCCCTCAGGGCACGGCCTGGCCGCCGAGCGGTCGGGCAGCTTCTTGGGCATCTCCCCTCCCGACCCCTCCCCGCCGGCCGGCCCCGCGCACGCACCTGCGCCGCTGGGGAGTCTCGCGGAGCCGCCGCGGGGCGCCTCCTCCGTACTCTCCTCGTCCCCACACGACGCGCCCCGAGGTCTCCGGGTGCCGCGGGCCGCGGGGCTCTGCTCCGGCCCCCGGCCTCCTCGTCCGGCGAGGTGGGGACAGAGGTCTCCGGTGTCAGTGTGCGGCGGCAGAAGGGCGGGCTCGCTCCTCACCGTGACCACCACGTACTCGGACTCCTCCACCTCGCCCCTCTCCAGGGCCGTGGTGATGCTGCCCCCCGCCAGCGCCTGCTCGTCTGGCCCCCAGGCCCCGCTGCACGTCAGCTGGTTCTCCTGCAGCTCCGAGCACCGCAGGAAGTAGGTCAGCACGTACAGTATGCGCTGCACCAGGTCCTTCTGCTTCCCCAGCACCACCGTGCGGGTCAGTCGCACCGGAGAGCCGATGGCCCCGTAAAGGTCGCCTAGAGGCAAAGTGGACAGAAAGACAAGTCGTCTGGGGGAGCGTGTCAAGGGTACGTCAGCCCGAACAGGAGAGATGCAAATGACTTACTCCCAGGCCAGCATCGCTTCTTCACACGCCTGACTGAGGCACAAAGGTAATTCCTAGAAGGACCACCTTTCAGTTTTCCTCTGCAACGTAAAGTCGGCCTGCCAGGATCAGCCCTGTTCTGGGTGCTCAGGTGCAGTGCCCGTGTGTATCGGGTGCAGTGCACTGACAGTGCAGTGTTGGTGTATACTGGGGGCAGTGCGGTGCCAGTGCACAGAGGGTGCAGTGCTGTGTGTACACAGTCCCTCGAGGTGCTTGCTGGGCCTTTCCAGGGCAGCTCAGTGGGCTGGCTGATCCCATCTCCCCAAGGTAAGGCTAAAGCCAGAGCCCTGAATATGTGACCAAACCAAATAATTTATCTTGGAAACTAGAATGGTGAGATCTTTTTGAAGAACCCCAGGACAACAGGCCCTGGGGTGAAATTGCGGGATCTCTGAACAGAAAGCGGAAGTGAGTCAATGCAAAACGCTGAATGAGATGGTCCGCTCGATACACACAGGCACCAAGAAGAATCAATGTGATTAACAAGAAGAAAATCACTTGCTCAGGAATAATGCATCTCATTTTTTTCCCATTACTTCACATGAAAATTCTACTGGAGAAAAATGTCCCATAACTTATACCCTGACACACTGATGAAAAGCCGGCTAATGAAGCATGAACACTTGGCTTAAAGGTGGAAGAAGAAAGGCAAACCTGTCAACGAACCATCAGTGCAGGTTCCTCATCGCAAGTGTCTGTCCAGTGCCTATTAAAATTATGGCATGTAATAAAACCTGACAATTACACTTGGTAAGTCACACCTTCCATATTTTGATAATAATATTATTGACAATTACAACAAAAAGCCAACACTTCCTGACTGCGCAAGCCCAGTGCTGAGTGTTTTACATGGCCTTATCTCATTTACATATCTGTATAAGCAGCCCTAAGTCAGAAAGCATTGCAGGAAAAATCAGAATGTTGGAATAAATCAAAATGTGAAAAGATCCTAAATAAAGGAGAGGAGATGCATGGTTAGCAGCTATAAATAAGAACTCAGGAAGTCGGACTCCATCTGGCGGGAGGAGGAGAGGCATCTGTTAGATAAGACTAATCACAGTGTTAAGGTTTAAGGCTGACGGAAAAGGGGCAGCACGCATCAGAGGTGCCCCCTCTAGAGAGGGTTTCCAGGGTAAGCCTCCTGAGAACAGGTAAAGGGCAGGATAGAAGTGATATCACACAATCCTCTCTATAAAAGGACTAGGTGGGGCTTCCCTGGTGGCACAGTGGTTGAGAATCTGCCTGCCAGTGCAGGGGACACGGGTTCGAGCCCTGGTCTGGGAGGATCCCACATGCCGCGGAGCAACTAGGCCCGTGAGCCACAACTACTGAGCCTGCGCGTCTGGAGCCTGTGCTCCGCAACAAGAGAGGCCACTATCGTGGCCTCTCTT